ATATATGGATAATGGAATTTCTTTAATATTCAAGGGTATATACCTTCTCCTGGGTCCAGTTAAATAGGGCATGTCACACTAAAGTGTTAATCCTTAAATCCATTCTGATGTCTTTGCTACCTATTATATATGGTACATCTTTGTACCGAATCTATTCATATATTTACTCTAATTATAAAATTTCCTCCTCTTAAGAAAACAAATCAGGCTACCTAAATTCTACCCACCTGTGTCATTTACATTTAATAAACACATAATACGTACATTCCCTTAATCTCATCATTACATGACAAGGGGATACATCTCAAGGGCCCAAGCTCCCTCACGGGCAAGGGACGAACAACACTTTAGAATTTAATAAAGGAAAACTTGTGCAAGAACATGAACAAGGAGAGGCCTGGGTGTTTCTTACCCCAGGGACAGTGATCACTTTCCACGGCCCTGATCTCATCAGCCACCTCTTGCATGAAAATATTTTCACATCGCTGTCTAAGCATGCCTGTAAGCAGTCGTTCATCAGCTACACCCTCTTTTATCACTATATTATATCTTTTAATGTTTAACATCACATGCCCAAACATTAACCCTCCCCCTTTCAAATGGACATTGTAACATTTTGGGGAGAACTCTGCTATTTGACGTATTGAAAATCCGAAACCAGTACTTAAAAATTCAAGTGCAGACTTCTTAATTATGATAAACAAGAACATGTAGTGCTGTTTTTGATAGACTCAGTATAATTTACAAAAGTCAATGTGTACCTTTTTAAATCCTATATTTAAAAAAAAAAACCCATATCTAGGAGTCATATTTTACAATAGGCAGAATATTTGTGTTAATTATGTGAAGAACGTTATTTAAGAATGCTATGTTGTTTATTCTTGGAGACTTAAAAAAATTACAAATACAGTTTACAGAAAACTAAGTGAATTTACAGTAACATATTGTTATAACAATAGTGTTTCCGTAAAACAATTCGGTAAATATAGTCAATAAAAGATCTTTAAGAAAAATGATTTGCATTATTCCTTCAGCAATAAAATGTACTAAAATTAGCTTCTAGTAAAAGAGATATACCTTTTTGAAGCATCAGTGGATATTTACGTAAATTGAACGACCGAATATGTAGGGACCCGTTCATTTAAATAAAAAATAACACAATATTCCAATTGAAGGGAAACTGTATTCTAAAGTATAAAAGTCACAGCTGACTTAAGTCAAAACTTTGTCATTTGTATTAAGCTAATCCTTCTAATTTAATAACAGCACGGTCAATTTATTTAACCATATGGTTCATTTTTCTAACTTTTTTATATTGACGTTCAAAATAAGTATTAATTATATACATAATATATATATATATATATATATATATATATATATATATATATATATATATGTATATATATATACATATATATATATATATATATATATATATATATATATATATATATATACATATATATATATATATATATATATATATATATATATATATATATATATATTGAATCATATTAGCATTTTTGTTGTTGTTTTATACTGTCATTAATTAATTTATACAAACATTCTATGCAAGTTGTAAAATGTCAACAAATATTATTCAACTGGTAAAAGTACACTCAAGTGATTGTGGAAGGGATAATCCTTCTTTTAAAAAAATATCAACCGTCTTTTACAAAATAATTAATGTTAACAGTTTTTATCTAAAATTATATCAATTGAGTCATTTAATTTCCTTTTACACATTAATTCCGTCACGCAAAGCTCCTGGGAGATACGGATTATGATATCGAAATCTATTTGATCACGATATCAAACCAAAGCCATCAGCAAGAGATTTCATTAATATGGAGTCCAGTTCCTGTCGTGCAATGGAATCTCAAATAACAACAATCTAATTTCCCTCTTTAATTGTATTTCTCTCTTGTTTCCTAAGAGGACAAAGTTAACAATATTTATACATGGAACAATGGTAAGATTATACATCTTTGGAGAACGGCAATCCTGTGTAAAACCAATTGAACCAAGGTGAAATTGTGTTCAGGTGATCATTTTCTTGTCAAGGAAGCATCAAGCTTGTGACTGTTTCAAACTAAAAACTTGTCTCTTCTTGTGTCCAATATTTAGCCAGGCAGCCTTACGTCTGCAGCTTTTCTGTGTCTTTCTAAAGTGAATTGGTGACATTCGATGAACACAAATGGGGAATATATAGTCACTATTTCAAACAAGAATTTCTTGACACAGCAGAACCTGATCTATAACGGTTCTAATTATACAGATCTCATATGTAATTAATTTTCTATTAATTTAATCAATGATTTAACTTTAAGTTACATTTGATGACAACAGAGTGGTGAATTGAAATAAATAAAAATAAAAATATAAACGCAAAAAAGTTGGAGTAAAGACTACAAAAGCATGAAAGCCTAATGAATTTTATCGGAAACTTAACACCAGATAAAATTAGTATAGCAAACTTATTCAGTATTTCAGGCCCATATTACATATCCATGAGCACAATATAACAATGAATTAGAGCTTACACAAACGCTAATGATATGGCATATATGCTTTAAATCATAATGAACATCATGAAACTTTTTTTGTCACCTGATGAAGATACGTTACAGAAAGTAGCCAAACGGACTAATCACAATAATAAGATTATCATATCAGATTATTGAAAATTATGAATGATATATTAATTATCCAGATTATATGTATGTTCGTTTCTTTGACAGTCTTTTTATGCATTTCATACTAAAAGAAAATGAGGTACGCCTCCTGCAGTTCTTATGTCATTTGTTTAGTAGTACAGCAAAACTCTATTAGATATATCCAACCATGTGTTTTACCTGTTTTTATCGCTAAATTATAACTGTAACAATTGAACTCAACTTAAATATCCAAATTGCAATAGAATACCTTTAAATAGTCAACTTTAAGGAATTAATCAAAATTTAAAACATGTGTAACTTCGAAAGTTGAACCTATAACTTTACTATGCCATTTTGTATCAAACAATTTTTAACTCTGACATGAAATAGCTTCATAAACATAACATCTCAAACAGTTTGCTGATCTAATACAAATTCAGATCAACGTGAATAGAGTAATTGTTCACACCTTTTGTCCGTGTAATACGATTATTTTCATCCAAACACATCAATATCTGATAGCAGCTATAAGAGTACCTGTGAATTAAAGCAATACAAATTTAATACATTGTATATAATATGTTGCACGTATTGGGTATCTACCTTATTGTCCAAAATGCATTCCCATTGTTTGTTCTGGTTGAGAGATTAAGGAACCCATTATAAGATGTGTGTATTCTTTTTCATTACTTTTTTAATATTTATGACCCTTGGTTTCTCAACCATAGATTGATATAACGATGGTAAAAAGCTTGAGGGTAAAAAAAAAAACTGATGACGCAGTTAAATTCATCTTGATATTTAATCATACATTCAAGTAATAGCAGAACCTGGACAGTAAATGCACCACAAGATGAAATATATCCGGTAGCAATGTAACAAAAGAAAATTTGCTTTTTATTATATACTAAACTCGACCCAAAATCTAAATTTAGAAGGGTAAACTGACTCTTTGGTACAATATGCCGACAACCAACCTGTGTCCTTAAATTTACTTCACCTTCATGACTTGATCATATAAAAGCATTGCTAAACTTTTTAATAATTTCCATGGAATACCAAATAAACAGTTTTTATTGTTAGAATTAAAACGTGTCTGTTTTAGAATTCATTTTGTGTTCGAAGAAACCTGCATCGCAGTTGTATCAATGCTTTGTTGGTATAATTCGTTCGTGATATCTACGCAGTGCTTCTATCTGTTTTGGTTTTAGGTTGGACCTATTGCACAAATTGTGTATGGGGAGGTTTAGACCTGACCTCACTAATCGCACCGACTGTAATAAAAATAAAAGAACTCCCAGGTCAATCAAAGCACGCGTTGCTCAATGAAATCTAAAGATCATCCGACAGTGATGCAGTCTAGATGAAAAAATAGGTTTTCCAGTTACCACATAAGGCTTAATATTCGCCTGTGGCCCCAAAGCTGTGGTTTCAACTTCGCCTTTTTGGCGCTCTGAAAGTTCGGTTTGGGCAAGTAACCTTGTGGTAAGTAATTGTGAAGAAGTTAAATTTGTTACTTTTCTTCGTATGATATTTCAAAAAGGTATACCTACTGAGTATTTTCATTTTGTTCCAAATATCGTCAATGTATTTTCAAGAGTAGCAGGATGAGATCAGATGCGTCTGCAGGAAGATTTCTTGTACGTTCTTGGCAGTGGTGTATAAATGGTGAATGGCGTCCGGGGAGAAGATGAGTGCCCAATGTTCCAATATAGTTCCCCACCAACAATTTTCCTGCAATTTAATCTTTATCAGCTGTTTTGTCGCCCCAATACCTATTGCGTCCGGAGCAACCTCCTGATCTGAAGAACTCACCCATACTTTCATTACCTGATTTATTCTTGGCGCGGCAGCAGTATTATAGTACATCTTCACTAGAGTAAGTTGGTTTGCTGTACAGATCAATTCCAATGTACAGAGGACAAATTTTGTAACCTTGATGACATTGAACCTGTTTAAAACAATGACATATATGTATTTATCGGTTAGAAGTCTTTAGAAACTACAAATATAACTATCAACCGTTTGATTTATTTGATTCTTTGTTGTCAATAATTATGTTCCAGCTTAACGGTCTATCTGGTGCTTCATTTAGGATTTGATGTGATTATGATTTTTAACGTAGCTTGAACAATTTTTCAGTCATATCGATATGATGTCTGCAGTGTGGCAGTTTATAGTGATGTCTAGCACTGTGACATCATGTCGTAGACATGTAGCATGATGTCCCACCCGATCACATTATCTTGACACCAGGCCGACCAGTCCTAAAGCTAATCTCCTAATGCTGAGCGCCAAGTGAGGAAGCTGTTAGTACATTTTTGTAAGTCTTTGATATGACTCGATCGGCGATCGAACCCATGTCCTCCGGCATCCGAGGCGGACGCTATAACCACTAGGCCACCGGAGCGGTTCATTCATTTAGGAACCTTTGTTGGAGCCTTTCGCGAACATATCAGCATAAGAAAGGTTGCTACCCATCTCAGTCAAATTTACTTGCAAGAAATATTTTTTGCTAAACACAAAATTATTTAGCTTAAGAACATGGGAAGAAAACAATCGGGTAGGCTTTTCCATTTTCCATTACATGATTGGATTCCGTTCAATATGGGGGATTTTGTTGTATAAAGTTTTATAATAAGCAGGAGAGGGCTATGTCGGTTTTATGTTTACGATTATGTTGGATTAAGTCTACCTATCGAGCTGTTGTGCACCTCGAGTCCTTTCTTTCGGTTTTTGTTCCTTCCTTTTTCGGATGAACGTGTGCCCAAATGCGTTAGGGCGCCAATGTATCAAAATCAAGACGATATATGCTGCTACTTGCGACACGAGTTGAATTATTTCTTGTAATGAATTATAGATCTCTCACCTGGAAGATAATATTGTTATGCTATATAATTTTCTTACATATAGTCATAAATCCATCCATACAATATGGGAGCAATAGACACCAGCTTAACTCTGTTTGGCACATGGGTGTCAAGTATATACATTAAATTTATCAATAGAAATATAGTGTTGATGCACACAGCTGAGTGGGGTAATTCCACTTGCATAGGGAGCAAGTTCACGTGCATCGTGAGCTTTACCTACTACTTCGTCCCATCCTTTTTTGGAGGGGGGTATGAGCTGATGTCTGAGCGGGTTTAGGCTGTGGTACATAAAATCCAGGATACAGTTGACCTTACCCGTGACTCGGGATGGATTCCTCTTTGAGACTTATTATAATAAACTAGTATATATCGTTATATTATATATAGTATCGCTCCTCTTGGCAGACGCTTCTGACCATATGTTTGTTAACAAGAAAACAAATTGTCAGTGAAACCCATATGTAAAGACAACACCAGATATCAGTCCTTAAAATCAACATATAGTTTCCATTGTGTCCTGTTATAGTATTCAATAAAATCGTTGATTTTCCTTCTTCATTTCTTCTTCTCTGTAAATTGGCCGAGTCTTTTTTACAGGTCAAACTATTATTAGCATGCAGATGAAAGGCTCGTTTAAACTTGAACATAAAATAAATTGGCTTTCCATTGAATCAGAGCCCTGGCATAAAATGACTGGCTACCAGATGTGGCCCAGTCTTTGCCCTAGAGGTCACTTAATTCAAAATCATTTTCATCAAACACTATACAATCTAGGCTGAATATTTGATATGTTGCATTTGCAATTTTGTGCTCACTAAAAGTAATTTAATTCAATTCTTGACCAACAAAATAGATTTCACTAAGAATGGACAATATATGCTTTTTAACAATACACAAAGGACATTTTCCTTTCTTACTTTAATACCAAAACTATATTTCATCGTGGTGTACCAAACACGGGATATTTTGACTTGTGGCGAGATCGCGAGTTAAAATATATCATATACGGTATCACAAGATGTAATATACCATATATTAACTTAGTAAAAGACAAATTTTATTATATACCAAACTTGCTCAAGATTTTAAGTTTAGAAGAGTAAAATCACTCTCCGGCACAACACACTCACACAACCCCTTTTTGGTAAAGTCACTTCAGTTTCATAAGATTATCATAGAAAATACAAGTGATCTAAAAAAAAGCGGTAGATCGGGTTGACCTAATCTGTCGCAGTAAATTACATTTTTTGTTGTTTTGTAAACTATTTGACACTATCTGACATGGCATGATCGGATATTTTATATTTTCACATGTGAAAATATAAGGATTTATTATTTTTCACAAGTGAAACTATAGTAATGGAACAAGTATGAAAAACATTTATCCATTGAGTCACTATATTTCTTATGTAAGTATATAATAAATATGTATTTAGTCAACTTTGCATACAATTATAAATTATTTCAAAACTATTCCGCGCACATTGTATAAACTATTGTCATGACATATACTAAATAACAGTTTAGAAATTCAGTTTAGAATTCAAAGTAATACACACATAGTTTTGATATTCTATAATCTTTCAAGTTGATTTAAATTCTTAAGTAAATTATAAAAACATGTTAGCTCCTCTAAAATAGTTAGTAATGAGCCAAGAGATTTAAATGTGGTTGCTAAACAAAAATATTATGTAATTCCATCCGACGGACCTATCCGTATCTTCCATGTTATTGATTATTACTACGCTTAGCTATCTAACGTTTTATTTTGACAAGCATATCAGTGAAACTTGAAACGCGCTCAGAGATGTGTTTTTCCGAAAGGAAATTGGTAAGAAAATACCAGAAATTACGTAAACTTACAACACATGTCCCGATTTTTGTGCTAACATCATGAGAAATAGAAAAAGACTGGAAGTAATAAGCTTGTAATGTGCTAATTATATACATATGCCGAATATATCGGTACTACTTATCGATACAATTATTAGTTGTACATGAAAGCTCCATTGATCAAAGAGAATTACTAACTGTGTGGTCGTATTGTAAGACTAACGCGCAGGTGGCACGGATAAATATACTCTAAAAGCTCCCAACTAAAACAACACAATCTTTAATGTTAACGTTTGAAAAACCTCCGAAGCCTGAATTTCATGGCTAGCATCTAATAGCTCCATTTCATAATTTATCAGACACCTGCTATTTTTCTATCAAGTACAAACGTATGGCGCAGTGATAGACCGAGAGTAGAATAGAATAGTACTTGAGAATCAAGCGGGATCCAATGTAAAAAATGGTCTCAGATTCTAAGCGCAAAATAGAATTTAACATTTAGACGCCATCTTGTCGGTTTAAAACATCAAGATGGAATATCATATGTTGCAAATTTGTTTGCTTTGTTCGCATGATAGATATATGTGGCAAGAAATGTATTCAGTGAGGGGGTGAATGGACTCTAAAGAAAAGTACAGGAAACATTTACAAGTTCTGCTTATTTTTAAAATAGTAAGTTTACAAAATACTCCAAACTGAGTTTTTACAGTTGTGTGATGTTTGGGCCAGATTTACTGTCAGCCAATTGTGTTTTTGCAAAAATAAATCTAATGTGACTCAGGTGTTCGTTCATCAATACTTATACAAATGCTTAACCATTTTGTTTGCACCCAAATGTTAGTTTATAGGCTATAATTATTTTTAAATACTAGGAAAGAATGTTTTAATGTGCCAAGCTCTCTGCTAATATTGTAGAGTTTTATTAAGACATATCTTTTTTAATTTTGAGTGAGAATTGTTACAAATTTGCCTAATTAAACTGATTGGACTTTTTTCTTTTCTACACAAACAGACGTTGAATAAAATAGAGTGCAATTTTTGCATAAAGGTGTTGTAAAGCATGTATTCCAAATATAAGTAAATTTAATGATTTATTCAGAGCTTATCGAAGACATCAAACTAGACGAAGTAAAATCGCCCAAGCAATTAAGACGCTGTGATAGTAAAGTACGTCCGTTTGGTTTTAAACATGCAGAAGATGGTGTTAGGGACCAGGAGGTCACAATACGCTTAGATTGATGAACGGGCAGACTTAGGTCTGCGCATTTATGACCACTTCTCTTACTCCATATGAAACACAAAGGTAAAACACGAGAATAACCTTTACTTTGCTGAGGTCAAAGAGTTTGTTAAAGACTGAACTCCACTTACCACTTAACACTGCCAAAAATCCTAGGCAAATGCGGATAGCGTGGAGTCGAAACCTACTTCAAATTCTATCTTTTCTCAGGCAGACATTAGTTGACCAATGGAGAGACCAAATATACAGTTCTCACACACTGCTAGGCTGCAAAAGCATCCAAAGAAACCGAGAATGAAGCAGATAACATAATTAATCAAAGTCACGGTGCAAACAGTAAGAAACCCAAAACTGATAGCGATAAACCAGATTTAACCCACAAAGAAAGTAACGAAACACTAGTCCTAGAAATCATGAGCACTTCTGCTGCATCCGAAGATTTTCATTATCAAGTTCTAAAACACTCTCCTGATTTGTCCGTCAATATGCTATTAAACAGCATCAATAGTTTGGTAATGTTGCGACTTGGAGCCATCCTGGCCAGAAAAAGAAACACTGATACCAGCACTTAACCCACAAAGTACCATATTGACCCTTGCAACTATCGTCCCATGGTGCTGACAAGCTTGCATTGCAAAATCCTGATAAGAAAAATAAAATTATACACTCTCCTCGCATCTTGAATCCAACAAATTAGTATCGGACTTTCAAATTGTATTCAGACGGCAAAAACACAATTGACCACGTAGTCAAACTATAAGTATTTATAAGAGAATTTTCATGAAGAAAAGCATACTGTAGAAATCCTTTTGAACTGGACAACGCATATATGTATAGAATAATGAATGACCTTTCAATGACAGTTTGAATTATCAACAGTTTGATATGCTTGGAAGCTTTGTCATGTACCGCGGCACCCGCGGAATAATCCAAATAACTCAAGATTGCAACTCACTACATACAGCGTATAACGCATCTGAATTTGTTACAATTGGAAAATTATGAAGAATCGAGCATAACCTCATTTAAAACACATAATCAATACAAATATATTTTTCACGAAAAAGCTACCAGATGTTCATCTTCTGTATCAGCATTTGTCTGTATAATCTCTGAAGACCTTTGAAAACAATAAATAGCCAAAACGATTTCGCATAATCACGGATAAATAATCTAAACCGTTTTGTATGATCAAGTCTACGAATTCGTTTACTCTTGGGTAGACAAATTTCACAAATTCGCCTAAAACTTCATCATTCTGAATGATTTATTGATTCATTTTCTGAGTAAGATAATTCTTTCTCTCTGTACAGTCTTTTTGGAGCAGTATTCATGGAGCTAATTTGTAAGTTCTATTGAAAGATTACATTGAAAATGACTTAAAGTGGTGGTACGCTTACTTAAGAATGTCAATGCACTGATGGCTTGCATTTTTATCATTTCGTACGCTTATGACTATTGCAT